ACCAGTTCTGTAACAACTGGATGCGCGGGCGCTGCCCGGGCAACTGCGGACGCACCCACAAGTGCAACCTCATCCTGGCAACGGGCCGCATCTGCCTGGGAGACCACCTCCCGCAGGACTGCCCGGGTTGACTAGGGGCGCTGACCCCGACCCCCCGGGGGGCCTCAGGTGCCGAGGGCCCTGATAAGGCCCGGGGGGGCGAGAGGGGGCGCAAACGCCCCAAGCAGGCACATGAGCCCCCTCCTGCAGGTGCCGAGGGCCCTGACACAGGGGGGGGACAGGCCAGGTGGCGGCCATCCTCGGCGGAACAAGGATGGGGACGGCAGAACCAGCGTGCACAACACCCTCGCTGGGGTCAGAACAACCACACAGCTGGCACAACGGCGGCGCCTCAGCCCCGAGCCACGGGTGCCGAGGGCCCTGAAACGGCAGGGACGGGACGGTTCCCTGGGTGCCAAGGGCCCTGACACGGGGGGCCGCGCCCAGCAGGCCCGATTGCCGGATAACTGGCAGCACACCGCAACGCCAAGGAACACGCCCAGGAGGCAGCCGATCCCACTTCCGGCGCCCAACATCATCAAGCAGGACCCGGTGGTTTTTTATAAGAGCTCGGTTGGGCTGAATGAAGGGGGCCAGCGCCTTTCAGCTACCCCCCTGACAAGTCCCACGGAGCTGTCACCGGGAGGGGACATCTTCCCGTGGATGGAGAACATCCCGGAGCGTTTGGTACAGCGGCTGAGATGGACACAGGGCACATCGCCCAAAGTTCCATCCAGTGGGCCCATCATTGTCCTGCTCTATGCAGGCAAGGAAGACCCAACTTCCTTGGACAGCTGTCTTCATGCCAACTACCCACACCTTTCCAGCATGGTGGTGGCGGTAGACATCCTACGATCGGGACCAAAAGGGAACCACGACATGCTCCAACCCGAGCTGTATGGAGCTCTCTGCACGGCAGCAAAGCAGGGCCGAGTGGTCTTCATTGGAGGAGGACCCAACTGCAGGACATGGTCCATCCTGCGCCACATACCCAAACCGGGCCCGGTGCGAGGGCGCACTCGAGAGACACTTTGGGGCCTCCCACACCTGGACCAGGCCGCCCAGACTCAGCTTGATGATGACAGTATCCTCATTTTGAGGCAGATGTACATCACCAGCCTGGCAAGGGCCTCAAGAGCGGCGGTTTCTCTGCCAGGGCCAAAGTCCTTCTTGGAGCACCCGGAAAACCCAGTGGTGAGCAGCTCGCTGCCCAAAGCCAAGGAATGCTCATCCTTCTGGATCACGGAGGAGGGGCAGCTTTGGATGGAGGAAAACTCCTTGACAGCAATCTCCTTCGACCAGTGCCGCCTGGGCCAGCTGGTCAAGAAGGCCACTACGCTAGCCACGGATCTCCCAATTCAGGATTGGGATCAAATGCGGTGCACGCATCAGTCACATGTGGGCACCAACGAGTCCTCGACTCTTAGCAGATACCCTTGAAATATGATGGCAGGCCTGGCCAAAGCCATCGCTGTGTCACTCGCAGCGCCGGGGCACATCCGGATCCCCTCACAATTCCCGGGAAACCCTAAGGAACCACCTAAGGGGCAATAATCACCCCCCCGGAGGGCCCTTCCCCCCGAGGAAAACGGGGACCCAATCAGGGAGGCGGTCCCTCCTCATCACACCAGGGCCCAAAGCCCGGAGGCAAGAATGCCCCGAAGCCCCGCCAGCACGGGCGCATCCACCTTGAGGCAGACACCGTAGGCCCTCGTGGAACAATGAACCCAGACTTCCCATCTCCCATGCCCCCGATGGCCGGAGATGCGGAACAACTGGGGAAGGAAGAACATGGGGACCAGGTCCTGGACCGCCCCGAATGCCTGCCCGCTTTCAGGGTCCCACGCCTCATTGACCGAGTTGCGATTGTCCAGTTGGGTTTCCGCTCACGCCCCCTGAGGGATGGGGGGGGGAAACCTTCCCGGGGAGGCTCAACCCCCCCTTTCGGAGAATTTCCCCTTTGGCTACTTTGGGCGCCCTGATCATGACCCTTACCCGGCCCTGGATTGACAAGGTCCGGATGTCCCTGGCATCAGGTGCCACCACACACCCCTTCCAGGAAGCCGACCTCGATGAGCTGCGGGCTATCCTGGGACCTAGGCACCTCCATGAACGATGCCCAGGTCAACCCTTCCTCCTGGACCTAGTTTCGCACTTGGCATCCCTTTCAGGTGACCCTGATTGGGAGTTCCCCCTGACACTGAAAGAGGGGGTCCCCTTGGGAGTCTCGGACCCTACCTTGACCTCCCCCGGAGTTTGGCCGACTAAGGAGGAGCTTAAGGGAGAAGCCTGGCTGGGGGAAGACCCCCCCCCGCCGGTGGCCCATGATAACTACCCAACGGCTGAACTCTTTGCCAGTGAAATCGAGGCAACCTTTTACGAGGAACGAGCCTTGGACATGGTGGACGGGCCCTTCACTCGGTCGGAGGCGGCAGAGAGGTGCCGCTGCAAACCGGAGGAACTTTGCCCGGGCCCCCTTGCGGGGATTGATGAGTCAGACAAGATCAGGACGATCTACGATGGCTCGAAAGGGGGAGCAAACGCACACATCCAGGCTCATACGGGGGAGAAGACCACTGCACCGATGGTTGGAGACTGCCTCCACGCCATCCACTGGCTCAGGACAGCGACGGACCATCCCCATCTACTTCGAGCCACGCTCTCGAGCACTGAGGAGAGACCTCGGGATGTTCCAGCCGGTGCAGGGGCAGTCCCCAGGTGCCGAGGGCCCTGAGAGGGACCCCCACAGCACCAGCCTGCCCCCCAGGGCCGAGGGGCCTGATCGGGGCAGGGGGATGATGGATACCTCCGGCGGCCTGGACGTCTCTCTGGGGTCGACACCCTCAGGGAAGGGACCACTCCCAGGTGCCGAGGGCCCTGATAGGAGGGCCCCCTTCCCCCCAACCCCCCCGGGCACGGAACGCCCTGGGGGGATCAGGGGGGAACCCCTGATGTGGCAGCCGCCGACACAGGGGGAAACCTTCATCATCCTCAAGGCGGATGTCACCAAGGCCCACAGGCGTATAAAAGTGCTCCCGAAAGACTGGAAATACCAGGTGGCCTGCATCCAAAACCGGTGGTGGGTCAACAGAGTGGGCACGTACGGCATGGCCTCGGCACAACTGTACTGGGGAAGAAAGGCATCCTTGGTGCTCAGACTCTTGTACTACATCTTCCCTCAGGTGGACTGGCACTTAGTCTTTGTGGACGACTACTGCTGGGTCCTCAGATGCAGCCGGGCGGACTGGGACGCCACAGCCATCCTGGCTACACTGCTGGCGCTGGGAGTCCCGCTTTCCTGGAAAAAGACGGCGCTCTCCCCGATCAATACCTGGTTGGGCTTTGTGGTGGACCCAATCACGCCCTGTGTACTGTTGGCTCCAGTCAAACACGTCATAATCCTGGCCACTCTTAAACGGCTGGCCCGGGGGGACATCTTCACCAGCAAGGAGGTGGAACAAGCCCTAGGCCGTATTCAATGGGCTGCTTCGGCAGACGAAACCTTTCCTCCAGCCCTTTTGGAGCTGGAAGAAGGCCTGCACCACTTCGGGCAGGCCACCGAAGCTGGTTCGTGCTCTGGCCATCCTTTTGGGGAGACTCTTCAACCAGAGGTTCCCACTGGCATCTCCGTTTGCTCCCACGCTCCCATGGACGGGGGCATCTGATGCGGGAGCTGGCAGACAGGCAGACCATGCATGGGTTGGTGGTTGGTGCTCGGACGTGCCCAACCCCGACAAGTCCCGTGTGAAGTGGTTCCAGCACAGAATCACACCGGAGAGCGAGCCGTGGGCCTTCACTACTGGGGACCCGCAGCGGGCGATAGCGGCCTTGGAGCTCTTCGGCCTCCTCCTTTTGGTGAGGGCCGTTCTGCTTTGTGCAGCCGGCTCGGCTTCTCACACTAGGATCCTGGTTGCTAGTGATAACCAGGGAAATGTTTTCTCCCTTCTTAACGATTCCACTCGCAGGATGCCCAATGCGGCCATCCTCATGGAAATTGTGCTAACGCTGCATGACCAGCAGGTCATGTTGGGGCCGTCGCATGTGAAGCGCGACTTTAACACGTGGGCGGATGAACTTACTCATCCGGACCCGCAATTTCCGACTGAGAACCGGGTCTTCCCCTCAGTCGAAAGCGAATTGATCACACTGATCTTCGCTACTTTCCTTCCTCACCCATGATGCCGGGAGGGCATCCGGTGAGGTGGGAGGATTCCTCCCTCGCTGTGGGAGTGGCATCAATCCTACTCCCATCAGCTGCTGAGGGGAGCTGCCCAGTGGAGCTGGGCAATCCTCCCATTTTGGCACTAACCCTTATGCGGCAAAAAAGGAGGCACCATTTTGCGAATAAGGCCTCAGTAGCACCAGAGTGGTGCTTTGAAGAGTCTTGTACAAGTCCTTCGTGTTTGCCGTAGACGAGAATCTTAACTTGCTGGCGCTCAGCAGGGAATGAGGGAATGACCCTTATAAACCATGCCTTGTGGTTTCCCTACTGAACACCAGCAAGTTGAAGGTATTTCGGTAGGAGTTGTGTCCATCGTGGGAGTCTCCTTCAGATGGGTATGGGTCAAAATTAAACCATTAGGGGACCGCAGGTTTTAGTCCATGTTTCCATTTACCAGGGGTCCATAGGGGTTACCCTATTTTTGACCCACAGCCAAATGGGAGTCTCCTTCAAATGGCATGCCGAGGCTTTGGCGGTTTTGCTATGGAGCTCCTATATGCCCAGAGCGGCTTGATCCTGTGAGTTGCGGGCAAGCCCTTCCAAGAATGAGCCTTGTCCCCAAGGCCCCCAATGGGATGTCTTTCATCTTTCGGGGTTGGACCCCCCCAAAATGGTGTTCGGCTTTGTTTTGGGTTTCCCATCACCGAAAAGGGGGGGTACCTTTCGCCTCAAGGCGCGGGGGCCCCACTTCACTTGCCCCATGAGCTTGACGAGCGCGTTCCGTCGGATGGATCGGCAGGAGCCTTTTGAAGAAGCAGCATGGCTGCGGCCTGATCCCCGGAAAGGTCCCCACCGGGCGCGCCTTTCGACGCACCTTGGAAGGAACGGGAGGGAGGGAAATGGAGCCGTGGTGAGCGTGGGGCTTTGAGGTTTCCTTCGGGGGTGCCATGTTATTTAATGAGTTTCTATAGCGCTGGATTGGGACTTTTGTTCCACCGCCACCCGCAAGCAAGCAAGCCGCGCGCAAGCAAGCAAGCACCCTTCTTCATCTCAAAACCCGCACTAATCCAAGCCCAAAGCCAACCCCTAATCACTCCCTAAACCCACCCTAAACATCTAAACCCACCCACCCTAAACCCACCGTAAACCTACTGCAAGCCAAGCTGGACCCGGAAAAACACACAGATTCAGGCCATTTTGTTGGACTCGGGCTTCGTTGCCCTCAAAATGGACAACCAAGCATTTGGGGGGAGTTCCCCCCCAAAAGGCCCTCAAGCCAAAGGGTTCTCTATGGCCGTGCTCTGGGGGCTGGATCCAAAGTAAGTGGATGGCTGGTACGCGCCCTAGACATGCTGTCCTTGGGTTCCTTGTTCGGTTTTTTTTCAGGTTCCTGGCTCTTTTTTTCTGGGGGGGGTTCCTTGGGTTACTGATTGGGTTCTTTGGATCCAAGGTGGAGTGCCCTGAACGTGTGGCATGCAGAATTGGATGTGGAACCCTCAACATGGGGTTTGATCTCCCATCTGGTTTCTCTTAACAGCAGCCTCGATCGGGGCGACGGTTGGATTTACCGCAAAACTCGGCAAACCCATCAGCCCGCGACAAATTGATGTCGCTTTCCCCTGTTCCTCTGCCGCTCTGAGGCAAGCTGCTTTTGACCACCATCCGCCGCATGAGCGATTCCCCCAATGAGGCCGCACAAGGCGGCGGGTGAGCCTTTATTTTTGGGGCAGGGCGGGTGTCCTGTGCTTTCTCGGTTTTCAAACATCAGCTGGTGGCCCATTTAAAAGTGAGTTCCCATTTGGTGAGCTCAGTTGCATGCCGGTTGGCAGGGGTGAAGCAAAATGTGAGGGCTGCGAATGGGGTGGGGAGGGCACTAGGGCTCTCGTTTTGGCATGCTGTCATGTTATGTTGTTGCATTTTGCTATGATAACTCTGTTGGCCATGTATTCAAGCAACATGAGAGGGAAGGCATCAACATAGCGCCTGAATCCGAGAATGATGGCACGTGTCGAACGGGTGTAGGCTGATGGAGCTTTGGTAGAAATGATAGCATGGCACATCCTCCAGGGAACTTTGCTGGTGTCCAGACTGCTGGACATAGGCAGATCCCATGTGGACATGGACACATCCCTCGCTTTTGTGAGGCTTGGTTCGGCTTTTAAAGACCCTGACGTGTGAACAAACGCGCGCACACGCGCCGGCATTGAGTGTCCGAGGATGACGAACTGGGGTCGTCTCCAAGTGGGGGACCCCCCAAACATGTTTCTTCCATTGGTTTTCCTTTGCAACAAACAAGCAGGTGCCCCCAAGATTTACCCAAATGGGTTCTTGTTCCAGGGTATCCTTTGGCTATAGCAAAGCCAGTGTTTTCGGGAAGCCCTCTTTGAGAGAACAAAAAGACACCCCCCCATTTGCGGAGGAACTTGCTTCGAGGGCCTTCTGCACCTCTTCGATCGCAATTCTTCAAAGGAAGGCGCCCGGGTGTCACACGAGTACGCGCGCGAACGGTCAGAGTGATTCTCAGATTCTGGCAAGGGAACAAGGCCATGAAACACAAGCAAACTGGGTGTGTGGTTGTCCAGATGCGCCTTTATCAGCAAGTTACCCAGGGCTGATTAAAAGATACATGTTGCCCAATTGATTTTTCCACCAAAACAAAGGGACACCACCATTTACAAGGCAATGTTCAGGTGTATAATGTGAGGATCCCTGTTACCGAGTTCCATTTATCTTTCGGTGGGAAGACTAAGCGAAATCGGGGGACCCTCGCCCCTCCCCTCAAGGTGGGGGGATAGGTTTGTGTTCGATCAAGGCCTTGAGAAAGGCTTTGAAAGTCATACACCGGCACACAACCATGTCCACACATTTAACATGCTGCACGAAGCTCGCCATGCGGGTGACGCGTTTCCCTTCAATGACGAACGGAACATGTGTTGCCATATTTTGACCTGTTTGAACATGTGTTGCCCATGTTGAGTGTTGAAGTTGTCGTGCCATTTAATCTGATCGACGTGCGTATGGCGAAGTTCTTGGGTTTGAGTGACCAACAACACTGTTGCGGAGGGTGTCCATTGAAACGGCATTTGTAGATGCGAACCTTCCCTATTGGTAGAACCGCCCTCTGAGTCCGGGGTCAATTGAGCCACCAAGTTTTTGGGTTCTCCGATTTTGACACAAGCCATATTGGCTACCAGGACCCCGCGGTTTTGACTCTGCTTATCAAGGGCTCAGCTTGGCGGGAAGAAACCGCGGTGCTTGAACTTGCATTCCCCGTTCCCAAATCCAGGGGAAGGTCACGATTACGTCGTTTGAAGGAAGGTATGCCTTTGGCATGGTGATTTCGAAGCCCAAAGGAACCGCCGTGAACTTTCCTCGCACTCGGCTCCCTACAACCCCTCCTCCCTCCCCCCCCCAAAACAAACAAAAATGAACAAAAAGCAACAACATCGACCAACAAAGCCTAACAACTCCCCAACAAAGTCACCCAGTCACATTCGTTTGAAGGAAGGTATGCCTGTGGCGTGGTGGTTTCAAAGCCTAAAGGAGCCGAATCAACTCAAACGGCACATCCCCACTTGGTGCTCTGTCGGCTAGCCGGGAGCCGAGGGTGCGACCTCGACTTCAGCTGCTCTTTGGACGGCCCCAAGATCTCCACGACTCACTCGGACTCAGCGGCCCGGCCAGCCCGGCCTTCGGCCAGCCCGGCCTTGGGCCTTCGGAAGGGCGCGGATCCGAAGCCTTGGGACATGCGAGCTGAAGGGTCGCCCCGAAAGATGGGCCTGCCCCGAGTTCGGGGCCGCTTCGCCTTTCAGCTTAACCCACTGATCTGGCAATTTGACACCACTTACATGGATGTGGTGTATGGGTCGAAATGAAACCACCAGGAGTTGGAACGCAGGTGTGAGTCTTTGGGTCCATTTACCAGGGTTTCATTTTCCTTACCTATTCTGGACCCGCAGCCACGTGGCCTAATCAAACACCCCTAAAGCAACTCAGAGTGTGGTACAGGGACCCTAGACCCCATGGGCCGATCCGTCGGTGTTGTGTATGTGTCCACGGGGGGGGGGGGCTCTCTTGGCGGGATCAACTAGGAACCAGCATCCAAGCGTTTCACGGGAGTTCGTTTTGTCGTCTTGTGGATTAGTGAGTGTTTCCGAAATTTGAAGCGAGTCTTTCGTGGGACGATCCCATAGTGATCTACCAGGGGGTTTAACAATGCTGGGTAGACCAAACACACCAAAACAACCATCTTTGATTGACTCATCAGCGGGGGTCCCAATCTAGTTGAGCTCCATCATTTTGTGGAACCGCCACCTCTCAATCGGGGCTTTGACTTGCCCCAATAACAAATCATTCGCCCGAGGACAGTGATACCTTGAGCACGACGACCAGAGGTGAGTCGTGCAGTTGCACCGACTGCGAGTCTGCATGATTCCGCCTGAGGCGCGCCATGCTGCAAGAGAGCCGCGCGTGGTTCGGTGGTTTGGCGACCAACTGTCAATGGCCCGTGGCGTGCCATGGCCGCGGTGGATGCGCTGGCAGGAAGGAAGAGCAAACCGTGCATGGGTGTCTCTGTCTTGTTTTGGGAGTTGGCTCTCTTTTTGGATGGTTTGAAGTTTGAACCACCTTTTTTGGGGGTTTTCCCCTATTTTGCGACAAACCCGCACAGGTCAAGTGGTCCAGACGGTGCCAAGTCGGCGTGTTCCACGTAGACAGTCATAGAAGGCTCTTGAAATGAATGGGGCCCTGTCTCCAAAGGGAAAGTAATCTGGTGGAAAGTGGTTCCTACTTGTTCACACATGGCTATTGGGAGCCCTCCAAAGCGGTTGGTGGGCAGACATCCCAAGCTGAATGATGCCACCAAGCAAAGTTCGTACCCGTATCGTGGATCCACTAAGGTCCCCCTCTCCTTTTGTCTGGAGAACACAACACCAAACTGAAGGGTTTAAGGAGGCGAATCTCTGTTTGAATTGAGCCACAGGTTGACTCGAATCCAAAAGCGCTTCACAACGTGCTTTCATGCTGGTAAGAACGTCCATGCTCCAAACAGAGTACAAGGCCCTAAAGAATAGAACAGAGATGGGAATAGAGGTTTCAGTCGCTCAGATATGCCTGGGTGTAATTTTCAAAGGCTCCAATCCTGAGAGGGCAACCGTTCTTTCCCGCGCATCCACCGGACCCGTGGACTCTGCGGGCCGTGCCAAACCGCCGCGAAGCTCGCGGCCTTCGGACGTTTTCCGCTCGGGCGCTCGGTGGCACGGCGGGCGGCCCTCAACCGGGAGCTGCTGGCGGCAGGAGTTGTAAGGCCGGGCCCAGGGAGGCTTCTGCGTTTGTCACAAAGGACATGAGGAAAGAAGGAAAGAAACCGACGTGAGCCACGATCAACCATTCTTTTTGCCTCTGGACCTGAGGAAAGAAGGAAAGAAAAAGACTTGAGCCACGATCAACCAGAAAAAATGCCGTTTCTTGATGGTGACTCACTTGGAGAGGTGAACTCGTTTGCGTGGCTGCCCTGGCCTGGCCAAAGTTGTTAGCCGCCGGCGAATTTGTGTCTCTCGGTGAGGCGTCGCTTCAAGGGCACCAACCCCGAACTTGTACAGCCGCATGGCGTTTCATGGCGCGCAGTTGTACAGCAGTGCAAGTTGTGGAGGCACGGCCGACTGAGGCCACGAAAGCACAGGGGCATTTTTCCTTGAAGCAACATACAGGACCTGCAAAACTTGATGGGACCTGCCTTGTGGGAATGCGCTTGGGAAGTCAGCCAAGAGTTCCAGGCCACTTTGAAGGCTCTCCATTCAACACCGGGTGTTCCCGTGATCCGAGTCGCACACCTTTGCGCAAGCTTGAGTCAAAGAAATAGATCTTCCGACTTTCGACGTTTTGTCATGTTGACCTTTCCCTCCAAAAGTGATTTAAATCCATTCCAGGGACACTTCCCCCTATTGATAAGCTGGGGTTTATGAATCTGGGTTTGCTATTCGGCATTTGATTCTTTTATGTTTGTTTGCTTTTTGATGTCTTGTATTTTTCCGCTGAAACGGTTTCTTGCATCCAACTGACTCGTGCCGTGCTTTGCCCTGTCAAACAGTGAATCTGGATGCAACTCGTAGGCACTTGTAACGTGGACACCGTGTCACACAGATGCATGTGAAGAATGGTGTCGCAGTGCTCTAGGACACGAAAGCAACATAGTGCCAGAGCATGAGCCTAATGCTGGGCCCACAATATGAACACGGAGAGCAGCGTGAGGGAGTCACAGCATGCCGATACGGTTCTGCCCTGCGATGGCGCTCGTCGGTCGTCTTGCAAGCGAATTTTTGACCCGACCAACATAGGCAAGATGCAGTAGCCATGGTACTGACGCACGTGAGTGACGCCGGGTGTCAAGGATGGTCACTATTTGGTAGTGTCGTTGATTGGAAGAGCTTTGGACATGGGAGGGCCGACCAACTTGCTGAAAGATGCTTGCACAACGTGCGGGTCATTTGGCTTTTGGATCAAAGTGGGGTCGTTTGACCATCCAGCCCGTTTTGACAATGGCTTTGTGAAGGCATGCATGCCGTCGCTTGGAGTGGAGTCCAGGGCGTAAGTGTGGAGTTGGTGGATGGTTTGCACTGATTCTCAAAGGTTTGTGGTTTCCAAAATGACCCAAGCCAGAATCAAAGGGGAAGATGAAGGTGACCTTTGAGTTCTTTGCCTCTGATTTTGGGTAGACCCCCTTTCATTTCGAGAATGTGAGGCATGGCGGCAATGGGTCCGATTCGGACTGGATCAGAAAAGTTTCGAGGCCTTGAAACCCTCCAAACTCCCATGGGATCAACTCATTGCCATTCGCCAACACCACCAGCGCAGAGGCATCAACCGATGCAAAGAGGGGATCCGTGTTTTGTCTGAGGTCTGAGGGGCAACTAGGTTGCTTGATTTGCAACCTGGGGTTGCTGTCCAAGTGGTATCAATGTGGTGGATGTGAAGCGTCTGGAATCCGGCTGGACCATTTGCTAAGGGCGGAGCAAAAAGCGACTCTCTTAAGGTAGCCAAACTGGGTGTGTCTTTTTTTGGTTTCTTAATACCTACCCCCTTTTTGGCGGTGTTTTGAAGGAAAAACAACAGGACGGTGCCCAATTTGGAGTGGTTTTTGATAAGAAGACGCACCCATCTTCAGCCAAAATTGCAGGCGCGGCAAGCCCTGGGTCCCATGTGCCTGGGGTCACTGAGGACCTTTTGGTCCCCTCCACTGGAGCTTTTGCGAGCGCCGATTCAAAGCGCCGCCAGGGAAACCAGGCGTTGCGCGATTTTTGATTTGTTTCTTTCGGTGTTTCGTGTGCTTCTTTTTTGTTTCTTTCCGTTCCTTTCCGTTCCTTTCCTTTTCTTTCCGTTTCTTTCCGTGTCTTTCCTTTTCTTCCGGCGACCGTTCACGTTTGGGCTGGGCTTTTCAAGAAGCAGTGGGTGCTTTCATACGCGTTTTTTTTTGGTCTCGGTCCTGAGGCCGAAACTCGGTCGAAAACCATGCGTCCTTCCCAAGCCGGTATGCCAGGCGGCAAATTCCAGTGCCTTTGAACCCCTGGTTTGCTTTGGAAACCATGGGGTTTTCAAACCACCAATTCAATCCAGTTACTCTTCCCACTAGCACCTGTGGGAAGGTACCTGGAAGATCAAATTCCCGAAGGGACTACTCTCTTTAGAGCCACAGCAATACAGGAAAGGTTTATCGGGAAGCTGAGACAGTTGGGTCTGTCCCTTCCATTTTGGAAGAACCCCCAAAAAAAACATGTTTGGCCCAACCGGCCGGGTTTTCCTTTTGGTTTCCAAGAAATGCCCCAACTGGCCGGGTTATCCGTTTGGCTTCCCTTTAAGCACACAAAAGGAGCACCTCCCACCCAGCTTAAATCGGGCGCCCGTCGCTGAGGCCTGCGGAGGCAGCCGAAAAGGAGGCTCCAAGCAACGTTTCTGTTGGTTCGACGTGCCGAGTGTCTTTGGGGGAGAAAAAAGCCCAGGAGTTGGCGGGCTTTTTCGGCTTCTGGAAAGAAGAGGACAGCCCATCATTTTGTGGGTTCTCCCGGCATCGGTTGAGCCACATTTCTGGTTGTTTCATCGGTGTCCCGCTGGAGGTCGGGGAAATCGAGGTCGGGGAGGCAAGCGAACGAAACAGTTGAAGCAGCCCCTCAGGGCTTTAGGGCTCAAATTTGTGATTCGCAAAGCATCGATTCAAAGAACTTTCGGTTTCTTTGATATGAATGGGATTTTGGTTCGCCGAAACAAAGTTGCCTGATTTTCTTTTCGAATGTGTTCAGTCAGCTGACTGCCGTTGGCGAATAAGACGACGGGGCTCCAAGGTTTCGGCAGGAGGAGGCATCCGTTTTTTCGGTGTGACACGGGAACCCCAAAAAGGGAGCACGGAAATTCACCTCCTCAACGAATCAATCTGCAAGGTTTCCAGCTATGGATTCGCAGGGGTTTTTGGCCATCGCCAAACAGTTATACAGCACGGGTGAATTCTACGGGGGTTTTTCAACGTGTTCCTTAGCTCGAGGGGAGAGAGAAGAGCTGTGTCTTTCAGTTGCCCTCCCACCAATTCACATGGAACCTGACCTTCCGGGGCCCGTGTAAAGGGAAAATGGTCCCAACCAAGATCCCCGAACGTCGGGTTCCATGTGAAAAGGGTGGGGGCAGAGCTATTCCACGTGGTTTTTGTCATTCTTGGGGTTTGCAGCAAGTCCTACAATGCCTACAACACCGGCCGCGTCCTGCTTGAGCGCAGGCAATGTATCTCTCTATCTAATCCAATCTATTCTAATCTAATCTAATCTATTCTAATCTAATCTATTTGTCCATCACTCCAGCCAGCCATCCATCCAGCTTAGCTTATCTCGAGATATGGATATGGGTCAAATGAGACCAGCATGGGACGGCAGGCTTTAGTCCTTTCCATTTGCCAATATGGCATGTGAGCCAGAATGAAAACCCGGGTAGATGAAGGTTAGTAAGGGACAGTCCCAGCCAGAAATAGTTGCGGCCGCCTTCTTAATTCTTTACATGGTTCTGGGTCGACCATTTTTGTACCAGGTTTTGATTGCGACTCATTTGGGGGTTGGTTTGTATTTTTCACCCACACCCATCGCTCCACTTCGACGTCTCCAGCTCAGGTCCCGGAGGTTGAGGCCCCGGAGGCCCCGGAGCCAGAGCCGCCGGCGCCGGCGCCCGAGGAGCGGCGCGGATCCGTGGTTTCAAGATGTCATGGCCCCTTTAAAGGCCACAAGCACGGAGCTCTTTATGTGGATGGATCTCCGAGCCGGGATAGATGAAGCTTTTTTTTCCTTTTTTTTTTCTGGAAGAAGCAATCCTTTCTGGTGGTTGGCGGTTGAGCCGGTAGGGAGCTGGATGACTTCTTGTTGGCTTTCCAAAAGTCGAAAACCCCCCGCAAGTCTTTTGTTTTTTTCCCCGGTCAGATCTTTTTGTGCTTTTTTTGGTTTGAAGGTTTGTTTTCATTTGAAAGCTTCAGTTCACTCTTCCGGCTTCCAATGAAAGAGCCAGTGCAAAGGTTTATTGAAGGAGCTATAGGTGGAGTCAAATCATTGAACCGGCGCATAGGAGCCTCCGCCGGCGGAGCCGGAGGACGGGAAACTGGAGCCAAACCGCAGCGGATCCGGTTGGGCGAAACGGGGCCAGGGTTTCGGTCCTTTCTTCGATTGCGCAGCCAGCAAGATTGTGTGGCGGTTGTTTTGTTTGTGGGCATGCTGTAAAATGAACAACATCAAAGTCGGCAACAACTAAGGAAACACATGCCACGCCCTTGTTTTGTCCTAACACACCATTTTTGTCCCAGTGGTTTTCTAGGGTGTCGGCTGCCGGTTTTGGAGGGGAGCCTGAACTCTTTTGCAGGCATCCAGTTTTCTTTCTTTTCGCCGCAGACTGAAAGAACAAGGGCATCAGCATTTAAGAACACCAAACCTCTAGGCCTGGCCATGGTGAGGTTGGTATAGAGGCACTTCTTTCCGCGGACACGGCCGCCTTTCTTGGAGTTCCAGCGTGGGAGTTTTGTAGATGTTCTTGGTGCTGAAGGCCTGGGCCTCACTCGATCAGAAGTTCCACTGGGAAGCTGACTCTGGATGCAGCTTCCCTGGAGCTTGAGAGCTGGGGGGTGGTTTGGCCTTCTGAAGGCCACTTTGGAAGTTGTGAACCTTAGGCATGTCCGAAAATTATCCGCTCCGGGGTTCTCGTTGGCGCATAAGTGGGATTTGTGAGAGGCAACTTCGGGTAGAGATCGGGCAATTTTGGGAGGTGCAGGGGTTGCGTGTAACTTCTATACATGACGTAGAGATGCTCCCTTTGGATGTTCCCTTCGGAATGTTGGTATGTTTGCTCCCATAGGATTGTTTGGTATGTTTTTCAGCTTTTCGGATGCTCCCAAAATGGCAAAGTTGCCATCTCTTACCAAAGGCGAAGCTTGTGGCTTGAGCCTTTGGTGCGCCGCAAACGCTTCTGAAACAGGACACGGGCAACCTCCAGCAAGGGTTCGACTTGCTGTTTTGTTCAAGGAGTGAGGACAGGACCCCCAGCATGCCTCATGGTTTTGGGATCCATTGGTTTCCCAAAGCCCTTGTTGATTCCCTGCAAGCAACTGAGGCAACTGGCTGCTTAATATCCCCGGGCTGAAGTCACAAACTCGCCGCTCGACCCTGGTGTTGACCCCGGATTGCCCCCCAGGTAAGTGAGGGAGCTTAGGTTCTGGCATTGCTTGAGTCCAAAGCAGATCTCCAGATTCGCAAATCAAAGCACAGAGTTGTCTTTGTTGGACGACCTTCTTGGACAAGTAGGTAGACCGTGACAACACTGGGGTCTCCCCCGAAACTATGTCATATTTTGGGGTTGGACGGAACATGAAACCGAATCTGGAAGTAGTACAGCAAGGAGGCAAAAGTGGTTGGGCGCACAAACCCACCCGCTCCGGACATACCTTTCTGATCTGACAATCGCATAGGATTCATCCGACCAAACCGGCACGTGTTGGACAAGGGCAGGTTTCCTTTTGAACCACCCCCAAAGGGTGCCCTCAAACAAAAGATACCCCCTACTGAACATGGAGGTCCCCCATTTTGGGTCCAAACAGATATCCTCTATCCATGGACCTTATCCATGGGCCTTCGGGAGTTCAATATGCTGAAGCGCCTCCACATAAAACCTGCGCAGGAACCGGTCCCCTTACTCAGTCAGTTGTTCAAAGCCGACCTGAGGGGTTTGAGTTTCCCTTTGTTTTCCAAAAGGTCGACGGTCTTTTTGCTCCAGCTTTGGTTCCAAAAGGTGAACCTTTTGGTTTGGGCAACTGAGCTGGACAAAAAAAAAGGGCCTTCCAGGACGGATTCCGGCAGAGCCGCTGCGGCGTGTTTTTTTTTGGGGAGCGGGGTCGCCTCTCGGGCGGGGTGTCTGGCGGTCGTCCGGCTCAAGGAGCCGAAGCCGGGGTTCCTGGGCCGCTTCTTCGGCAAGGAGCTGGCCGTGATTGTTAAATTAGTGGGGTGGGGTGGGGTGTGGCGTGAGGTGGGTGGGTCGGTGGGTGTGGGGTGGGGTCATTTTGCTTGCTGAAAGGTCAAGTCTGGGGCGTTTGAAAGTGACAAATTGGGGTGGCGGGAGGGTTGCAGTCATTTTGGTTTCCGAAGAAGCGTGCGCCATCAAGACGCGGGTATCACAATTTGGTGGTTCTGCTGTGAGGGCAGATGATTCTCACTCGCGTGACCTCGGCTGCGTGGTCACACGTTGCCAGGGGTTGCCAACGCTTGCAGCGAGTGGTTGACCTAAGCGCTCCTCGGAGCCTGTAGGGGCTTGGCCTTTTGCTGTTGACGCGGAAATCCACAAAGGTTTGGCAACTTTTGGCAGAGTCAACTTCCCTTTGGCCCAAAAATGGTTAACCACCTCCTCAAAAACCACCTTTAGTTCCCCCAACTTGAACGGGGTCCGAAAAGAGGCGGTGCCTTTATCAGGAGAGCACGTAGGCATAGGAATCGGTTCTCGGTACCAAATACTTTTGTTCATTTGGGGCGTTGTAATTTTTGGACCCTATTTTGGACAACGGGTTTTCCTTTTGGACAGACCAAAGCACCCCAATGCCAGCAAAGACCAGCTGCGGATTAGTTGCAATGTAATAGCCACTCTAAGTACCAAAGATTGTTTCAGCGGAAAATCGACATCGCCTTTCCCGGGATGCAGAAGGGGCTGGAGACATCTTTGCCCACCACCCATGAACAAAGATGTAGATCCGAGGTTTGGGGCTGCTTGGCCGAGGCGAGTTTGAGTTGGAAGTACTGTGGATGGTTGCGAAATCCTACACCACTCTAAAACCATGGGAATCACTGTTCGTTGGTATTTGCAGGGAAATCGAATCATTCCAGGGTTTCTTAAGTGGTCTCCCGCCGAAATCTGCAAAGTGGGCCCATTGAAACTGACGAAGCTTTGGCCTTTTGGGGCCGCTGGCAGCCAAGTGGCCCAAGCAACCGGCGAAGGTTTTGGAGTTGGACACGTAGGTAAGACCGTGGGTGGCCATGCGCGAAACGGAAAAAAAACAAGCGAAAGTCATCCCATGCCGAAGAGTTGTCTGACCGAACGGGAGGCACACATATAGGTATTTTGTCCAGGCTTTCCTTGAAAGTGAACCCCACCAAGAGTGAACCATCCCATATCTTGCGGTATGACCGTCCCGGCTTGCGAATGTCCGTCCCATATCTTGCGCTGACCCGGTTGCATGAGTTCCCCGGTGAAACTGAGCCCTTTTGAAAGCGCCGCAAGAAAGGCCGTCCCATACGCACATGCTGCAGCTGTGCAAAGGCTTATCCACTTTGGATATGGCACCTTGCCATTGGCAGGTGCAAGCTTCGTCCGGATGGAACGCAAGTATACAAAAACTCAGTTGCTGAAATGAGATTTGGGACATCCCGTGTAAGGCCGAACAAACAAACTTTTAAAGGCCCGTCCACCACGCAGTTCCTTCTTTTGAGTGAAAGCCGCCATGGACAGCGACCCCTTCGTGACGGACGTGCTGCACGTCTTGAGCCGCTACTCGGAGACGGCCAAAGACGCCCTCGCCGGCGACGTGCTGGAAGTGCCCAACGGCGGCGTGCCTGCGGCCTCGCAAGCGAGTGAACGTAGGGCTTTCCGTTTCGTGGAGGGGCGCGCGAATCCCCTTTTTTCACCTGCTTTTCTCTTTTCTCCATGTAAGGACTGGTGACTTTTTGAGGGTTTGTGAAAAAAAGGTGGAAGCCGAAAGGCAATTATTTTGATTGGCATGCCCTTTTACAGAATCTTTTTTGGGGAAGGTTCCCCTACTAAAATAGACTACAGAAAAAAATAGTGTACCCTCATTCTAACCTCTCCAATCTGGAGGACCTAGTTGAGAAACCCCTGCATTTTCCTTTGTGGTGGCTTGACGCATCACCCGTTTTGCCCGTGGGAGGGGACTTGTGTTGGGCTCAGAATAATCAGAAGTTCGGGCAGGGCACTGCAATGAACATCTTCATGCATCACCTAAAAGGGAACCGCCCAGGCATGTGGGTTCTGCAGCAGGTGGGGGATGCAGATAAGGGTTCTTCTTTTTCGCAACAGGGGAAAGGAACCTCAATCTTAAGTAATTCCCCAAGTTGTGGGGTTACCCTGTCAGCAAGCGGCGTCCGTTGCTCACTTTGAACGTGCCCTTTGCGAGCATGAAGTCACTCCTTGAAAGGGCCAGAAGCCAGTTGTAAGTTGCTCATCTCAACTCGAGGGCCCTCACAAGCTTCATTCGTGCAAGTAGATGCAGCCGGTAGGTGCTCCATTATGACTCATTCGAACAACCAAGGAGCGATTTGCGTGGCTTCTCTACACTTGAGTTGATACACAAGTCACCCCTGATTTTGGGTGTGTTTGGGGTACGCCAAGCTGGTGCATGAGTCGTGGCATGGCTCCCGGTGCCTCCTTCGCGGGTTCCCTCAAGCGAGAATTTTTCGGGGCAAAAAGAAACGCTTCTGACTTTGACGCCCCAACGGGCGGACGGACGGAGCTGCAGAGGCTCCGAGAGCCTTTTGGAGGGTGGCTTCCGTGGGCTTTTCCCAGAGAGCTTTTGGGTGCCTTTGCTCATATTTGCGACCGTCTCCCTTTGAGCTGCCCAATGAGAATTGCCCTTTTTTACTGCTCACCTTCGTGCAGATTGCACCGGAAGGTGAAAACGCCCGCGGGTTCTAAAGAGCACCCGCGAAAACCAAAATGGTTTTCGGTTTGAAGGGCGGGACACCTGGAGTTTGTGGGGAAATAAGTGGACCAACCAGAACTTAGGAGATCTTAGGAGACATCTTTGACACTTGCGGTATTATAGTGGTATACCTCGATGGACATGTCAGAGATTCCGCCAAGCGGATCTCGCGATTTTTCTTTAACAGGAATCCAGCATTTCAACCGGAGCCGCCCCCAAACACCGCCCTGCCCAAACACAAACTCTCGCGGGGGTTTGACTGAAATCGACAATGTTTTGGAGGTGTCTCTGGGGGGTCCCAAGGCGCTGCCGAAGGATGAGGCCCAAGAAGAGGCCTTGCGCCAGAAGAGCGCGGAGGATGAGCCCCGCGGCGGAACTTGGAACTTGGAATTTTCCGTCTCCAAAGAAGGGGCAGGGGGGTGGTCCTCAGCACCAAAAAAGCTACACACTTTGGGGGTAGGAAGTTTCTGGAGAGAGGGGGTTCCTTTTGGTTTCCTTTTGGCGGGGCAGAACTTGGGGAGAACTTCCATGGGCTTGCAGGTTGCCAACAGGAATTGGACGGAGTCCAGGCCTTAGGTCGTGCGCTTCAAGATCAACCTCAAAATCACCAGCTCACGGCATACACCAATCGGGGTGCTAGAAATCACGACCTGTGGACGGACAAATTCCTGTACCACTTTGAAAACATGGTTGAAACCATTGTTTGTTGGTATTTGCAGGGGAATCGAATCACTCCAGTTTTTTTTTTGGTGGGGCGAAATGGATTCTCGCAACCATCCGCAGTATTGCGATTGGGGAAGCCCAAAGACGCCAAAAGCACTTTTTGGGAGCTCTGGCCCTTCTTAAGGCCACCAACTCGACTAAGCCGCCCTTCCTCTTCTTGTGCAAGGAATCCAAAGGCAACACCTGTTGTTTTCCTCAACAAAACGTCCCCCATTCGCAGGCGGTCCATTCCACTCCTGTGCCCGCCCCAAAGCAAGAAGCTGTTAGAACAAATGTGGATCCACCCGCTTGCTAAGTAATCCAAGAGGTCGGAAACGCGCAATGACGTGCAGATCTCTTGACACCCCCAAGGCCAGTTTTGCCGTCAAGCCCCGATGAAAAGGCTTCCTCTCGAGTCTGAGCAGAAGCGCCTGCGTTTGCTCCATCCGGTTTCTTTTCACTGTTGGGCAGCGCTCCAGAAGTGACGGGGACCTAGGAATTCTTGACTGGAGCGCATCGGGACAAAGCATCGGGTCATCGCCTTCTGTGCAGTGTGAAGCAAAATGAAATGGATCCAATTTGTTAGAGCATGTCTGCTTCTCTTTCTCATTTCTACCTGTGGCTTCACACCAAAAGGAAACCGCCATTTTGGGAAGTCCACCCCTAACAAAAGACGTCCCCCGAGTTATTTACTTAGAGCTGTTATCCCAAAGCCATGAGCTCAACGAGGGGGGCTACCCTGAAAAAGTCGTCCCCCCCGAGTTATTTGGTTCGAGCTGCCCCTAAAAAAAGGGGGGGGGGGGCCCTTGAAAACATGAATGCCAGACCGACCCAAGCCCCAAGCCCGAACAAGAAGACTCTCCCCCCTCACCCCTCCCTCCCTTCCCTCACCCCTCCCTTCGTCCTCCCCGTGTCTCTTTCGCTTGGAGCCGTTCCCGGCACCTTCCGCCCACGCCTCCGCGCGAGCCGCGAGGCTCCTGGTGCGGCGGGCGCTGGACCGGTTCCGGGCCATGGCAGCGGCGGAGCAGAAGCGCTGGAAGACCGGCAGCGGCTTGGCTCCAGCGATTTCTCCATGTCGCATTTTTTCTTTTCCCTTCCCCCCCTTCCCCCCCTTCCCCCCCTTCCCCCCTTCCCCCCTTCCCCCCTTCCCCCTCCCCCTGAGGCCCACTGTTCCAGGTGCCTATCCCTGGAGGGAACTGGAACCCTGTGGTAGTTGAGGTCGTTGTTGGTCCCTGAATCTATTCCGGAGAGAGTCCAATATGCCAGTAATGGATGATTGGAGGATGGATTGTCCCTGGTGGATTGTCTGATGGATAATCCTGTAAGCGGCCTGCAATGGCTCTTTTGTCCTCACGCTCAGATGGTCGTGATTCTGCAAAAGGGGCCTTGAGCCAAATGTTGCGGGAGATCAATGGTCTGGGAAACAGAACACAAAACAGACACAAATTTCTTTTGATCTCCAGCACAAAGTATGAAATACTATTGGCTTCATGGCCTTTGACCGTAGCCTTAATGTGTGCCGTAGCCATGTGATTAAAAGTGCCGGATTCATCCTTTTTCTGCTGGATGAAATGTCTTG